AGGGAGGGAGGAAGGGGAATGGGGAGGGGGGGGGGAGGAATGGGGAGGAGGAGAAGCAGAAAGGAGAGGGAAAGAGGAGACAGGAGAAGGGAGGAGGAAGGAGAAGGAAAATGACAGAAGGCAAATAAAAGACAAGGAGGGAGGGAGAAGCGAGGAAGGAGGGAGGGAGAAGGGGAGAAAGGAGGTCAGGCACAGGGAGGAAGTAGGGAGAGAAAGAGAAAGATAATGGTAATAGAAGAAAGGACGGAGCATGCAAGTAGGAGAAGGGGAGGGAGGGAGGGAAGGGAAGGAGAAGGGAGGGAGGGAGGGAGGAGGAGGAGGAGAAGGGGAGAAAAAAAGGGAGGAACGAGGAGGCAAAGAGGTAAACTTAAGGCTCATGACTTCGACCAAGCTTCAGAAACTTTATAAAACATTGGCAATTGATTCATATTTAAATTTGTAAAAATGCTATAAATAGAGAAATCAGAAGAAAGACGGAGAAGAGGAGGAGAAGAAGGGTAGGAGGAGGAGCAGGGAGGGAGTAGTATGGACGACACCGAAGGGAAGGAGGAGGAAGCAAGAAAGGAAGAGAAGGGAGGAGAGAGAAGGGAAGGGGAGAGCAGGGGGAAAGACAGGGAAAGAAGGACCTCAGGGATGCAACAAGTGCAAGGAGGGAGAAGACCAAGCAGGAAGAGTCAGAAGAGAGAGAGGATAAGGGAGGGAGTAGAATGGTGGACACAGAAGGGAAGGAGGAGGAAGGAAGAAAGGAAGAGAAGGAAGGGGAGAGAAGGGGAGGAGAGAGAAGGGGGGAAAAGACAGGGAAAGGAGCTCAGGGATGCAGAAAAGTGCAAGCAGGGAGAAGACCAAGCAGGAAGAGCCAGAAGAGAGGATGGAAAGAGGGCCAAATTCGATGCATCACACACCTTGATTGAGGAGATACGCGAGCCGAGGACCTCCCTTAGCCTCTCCACCTCCCGCGCGGTATCATTCTCCTCAAGCTCGAGCTCTCTGAGTGCCTGCATGGGCTCCTTCACATCCAGTCGCTCGAACGTCGTCTCTCGGAGGGCTGATAACACGGACGACCAGGGCCACCAATGGCACGCGGCGAGGGTCATAGCATCGTCGGGATCTCCGGCTGCAGCGGCAGCAGCAGCAGCAGCAGCAAGGGAGGGAGATGGATCGGGATCCCGACCTGGCCCAGCGGAGGTGGACGTCCCTGCTGCCAAGTCGTCATCGGTCCCGGCGATGGAAGATAATCTGCGAGCAGCTCGGCGCCGCTCAAGCCGGGAAGACGAAGACGAGGATCGCCTCAGCTGCGTACTTTGCCGACGAGAGACCCAATCCTGTCGTTTACGCATGATGGAAGAAGAAGAAGGAGAAGAAGGAGAGGTCCGTCTCGTGCTGCTGGCGCCGCCAACTGCCTGCTGCAGCTGCTGCGGAGAGGGACTAGTGGTAGCTCCATCTCCGAGCTCCGCTCCTCCTCCTCCTCCTCCTCGGGCATCGCCGTTGCGAGCGAGAGAGAGACGATGACGTCTTGAAAGGCCGCCGGGATCTGCAGCCAGCTCGCTCAGCGATGGCAGCTGGTTATGGCCGCCGCCGCCGCGGCCTCCTCCTCCTCCTCCCATCGTCGGCGTGCTCGATGGGTCATCAATCGCCACATCGAGCTCGTCTGCAGCTGCGACACGCAGCCATCGTGGCAACAAGGCCAGGATTCTGTGTCGGGGTCTCGATCGGAGAAGGGCGAACACGCTGGAAGTGACGGCAATGGATAACGACAACAGAGCACGGGATCCCGACTCTTTCTCCTCCGCAGACATTTCCGCTGAGTGGATAAGGTCGACCAGACTCACGGTGCACGTGCGGAGGTGTGGTGCCATTAGATTCTCCACTTCCAGATCTGGAAGATCTTCTAGAAGATCTTCCAGATCGGCCACGTCATCCTCCTCGACAGATCTGCCTCCCCAACGTGGCACCTCCTCCTCCTCCCGCCTCCTGAATCTTGCATCATCTCCTCCTCCTCCTCCTCCTCCTCCTCCCCCCCCCACATTTCCACTTCTCACATTACTATAATTCAATTGAACCCGAGAGCTGGGAGCAGCAGCTGCTGCTGCTCCTGCTGCTGCTGCTGCTGCTGCGACGGCGCCGGCGGCGCCCGGCACACCGCTAAATCTATTATTAGAACGAATCCCCGCCGGATCGCCATATGAAGAATGGATAAGGTTATTACCATTATTATTATTATTATTATTATTATTATTATGATTATGATTAGCCGATTCGTACGCGTGGCGTTCCACGTTGATGAAAAAAGAATGGATAACGTTTGCTGCCGCCGTGCGGGTCCGCGATTCGATGGCCGGCTTCAGAGCCAGCAAGATGAGTTCAAAGCCCGAGTTCTGCAGAATTTCATCCCTACCCTCGGGATAAGTCGCACATCTTGCCAGCGAATCCAATCCCATCCCGACGAATCTCTCGACGACTTCCTCCGACGCTTCTCCCGCGGCAGACAGACTCGCCTCCGGCCGTCTCTGGTGGTCCCGCCTCCTCAACTTCCATTGATGACGACGATTCAATGCCCATGCAAGACAGATCTTGGCGTTGCTGATCGATGTGAACCAGTGGAGGGGCAAGCCGCACTTCTCGCTGTCGAAGCCGATGCAACCAGGCAGAGAAGGATGATGCTGAAAATGCCATATCCAAGCTCGGAGCGCGGGATTCCATTCTTTGACGAAGTGCATTGCACCGGCGAAAACTCCCGCCAAAAACTGACAACCCAGCAGCACTGCTCCCGCGTAAAACCCCTCCCTTATCCGTTCCCCGCCACGTGGGCTTCGGATGGCACTCGACGAAACAAGCTTATCCACTTCGGGGGAGAGGTGGAGGAGGAGGAGGACGGCCAACCCACCTTTCACCGCGTATTGGAAGATCTGCCAGATGTCAGATATAATCACAAAGGATAAGCGACCGTAGGCAACGGACATCAGAATGCTACGTGGCGGATTGGCGAGCCAGAAGATGCAGGGGATGCCGCTGTTCACGGCGGCGGCGGCGGCGGAAGGGGAGGAAGAGGCTGGAGTTCCGCCGCCGCCGCCGCCGGCGGCGTCGGAACGAAGGCGGGATCGAAGGGTCTGGAGGCTTGCGACCGCCTGCAGGACCGCCACCCACGAGACCCAGTGCAGGAGTCGGGATCGCGATACCGCGCTGCCGAAGGAGGTCAGCATAATGATCCCGAAAATGCAGATCACCAGCCAGTTGATTAGGTCGTCGACGTCGAGAGCGAGCTTGTACCCCGCGCAAACGGCCTTGGCGGCGCGGCCAGGCGGGCGGAAGTTGTCGCAGGCGGAGGCGGCGTACTCCCACCGCGTTCCGCCAGTGATCGAAGGCCGCTGCCCATACTCCTCGAACTCCAGCTCAGCGTCCGACGTGTACAGCAGACAATACCTCCACCTCCATCGACGGCCCCAGATCCAGCCGAAGGGCAGTGACGACGGGTCGCCATCCCGATGCCGACGGAAGCGCTCCGACTGCCGAAGAGATACGGACCTGGCCAGTCCCGAAGTCCCTCCTGCTCCTCCTCCTCCTCCTCCTCCTCCCTCTCCTCCCGCGGCCGAAGCTGGTGGCGGCGGCGGCGCACCCACGTGTCCGCCAGCGGTGGCGGGAGGACCACGCGCAGGTCTCGATCCAGATCCAGATCCAGGTCCCGGACCGGGACCAGGACCCGGCCCCGATCCCGATCCAGGTCGGAAACTAAAGGAGCCGTTGGACGCGAGGCGAGTGCCAGTCCGCCCGAACATCGTTCCTGGTCAAAAAAAATGCGCGCTTTGCTTTCCCGCGTCCCCCCGCCGCCGCCTTCCTTACTCTTACTAATTAAAGAGGTTGGCGGGAAAATCAAAAGCCGCGCTCTCCAAAAACTGGGGGAGGAAGCCGCGCCAAAAAATGCGTTTTTCTTTCCCGCGCTTTCTTTCCCACGTCCCCACCGCCTCCCAGTTCGAGGTTGGCGGGAAAATCAAAAGCCGCTCTCCAAAAAAATATGCTGCTTTTCCCGCCCTTTTTTTTTTTCCTCCGTTGGTTGTGTGTGGTGTGTGTGCTTGTTATTGCTCCGCCGATTAGTGCTGCAGAGTGGTTCAGATACAGATACTCCCGGACCGATTTTACTGCAAAAAATCCAGCCAAAATAAAGAAAAAAACGCATACAAAGGAGTAGGGTGATGATGATTCTGATAAACGTTCTTGTCCAAAAAAAACAAAAAAAAAAGAATTGTGACGCCCGGCTGCGAATTTCACTGGATCTATTTAGATGAAAGGAAAGTAGAGAAAGACCACCAAGCCTAACAAAAAATTTTTAATTTTCAATTTACTAATTTATTACAAATTTACTTGTATAATTTATAATAAACGAATAAAAATAAATCAATCGAAAACGGATTTTCTGAACGTTTTCACATAAACTTCACATGAAAAAAGGAAAGTAGAAAAGACCAGATAAGTCTATATAAATTATAATAGATTATAAAATTATACATTAATGAATAATAATTAATTATAAAATTATACATTAACTCTAGGCTACCAGAGTGGCCCGGGTCCACTTGCCCGGCCGGGCCGAAAAGGAAAAAAAAAAAAATAATAAATAAATAAATAAATTAAACTTTTTATTTTAAATTTGGTACAGAATTTCGATGTGACCCCGAGGCAAAAGTTGTTCAGTTTAGTTTTCTGCATAACATAGTTTTTTTTTCGGATTTCCTGGAATTTTTTTATTTATTTATTTTTTGGCTGGGACCTACCCTGGTCCTTGCCCGGCCGGGCCGCCCGGGAAAATAGGGTGACCCGGGCGGCCCGGCTGGTAGCCTAGCATTAACAAATAATAATTAATTATAAAATTATACATTAACAAATAATAATTAATTATAAAATTATACATTAATGAATAATAATTAATTATAAAATTATACATTAACGAATAATAATTCATTACCAATTAATTAATTAATATTTTGTTCAAACAATGTCAAAATGGGTTGAAAACTTCCCACCACAGAGGGGCGAGGTCCCACTGGCAAAGAGGATTGTGGATTAAGCGCCTGAATCTGGAGATGTTTTATGCAAAGATGCAGAAAAGAAGATAAATCACCATTATATGCACCTCCCCACAAATACGTCCACATTCGGGCGTCCAATCCAATCCTTTTTGTTAGTGGCGTACTAGATAAGGACGTTTTCAAATTTTATATTTATTATTTACTGTATTCTAGACTTTT